CCCCAGAGCATATGGCTGAGTACAGCTCAATGTACGTGTCCTCTCGTGGCTCGCCGGAACACAGATTTGATTCCCATCTAGGCTCCGCCGCTGCGGAGCTGGTGGCGGCCGCCTCGGCCGTCGCCGAGCCCCTCGAGCTCGTCCCTGCTCAGAGGCGCCTAGATAAGGAGCGGGTGGGCGCTCAGTCGTGAAGAGGGCACTCGACCTCGTCCGTGGAGAGGCGCCTGAATAGCAACGAGTCCATTCATTGACAGGTGACCAAGCGCTCCAGTTCACTGCCGCGAGGCGCCGAGAGGTTGGCGGTCGGCCGGTCCTGCGAGCGCGTGACGCAGACGTGCCAGACGTGCGCCGGGAAGGCGCCGGCGGCAACGCACTCGGCGACACAGGCGCACCTGGGTGCGCAGAGAGACCGCCGCTGACAGTCACGAGCGGCGGCGGAGGGAGAGGAGGAGGCGACAATGAGCCAGAGAGAAAAGCGGATGTCACAGTGCAGCTAGGCTGTGCGGCGGCGCGGCGGCAGGTGTGCGGCAGCGTGCGGCGAGGGCTCACGAGAGCGGCCGCTTGGCGGTGCACACAGCAGTCTCGGGCGCCGCGTCGGGAGAGGCGAGGCAGGACGGCAGGACAAACGTGTCGCAGCGCGACCCGCTCCAGCCGTAGACGCAGATGCACCCAGCCTGTGGGCTCGGGTGGCCGTGTAGGCAGGGCGCAGTGACGTCAGCCATTGTACAATGCAGGTGTGAACACAACCCGCTTCACACAGGGGCACTCACAGCACAGAGAGAGAGAGAGAGAGAGAGAGAGAGAGAGATAACCGCCAATGGCCGTTATCCGTTAGTGCGGACGTCGCCGCGGCTCGCCTCTGCCGCGGCGGCTGCTGCGCGCACGCGGCGGCGCCGCTCTCTCGCGAGACGGCTGGCGACGCGGCTCGCCGCCGACGTACGGTGCGCTCGTCCGACGGTCCGCGGCGTGGCGTGCGCGGCGCTGAGCGCCGCTCTGCGAGCGCCTCTGCGCCTGCACTGCCTGTCTCTGTTGCTGGTGGTGGTGGTGGTGCTGCTGCTGCTGGTGCCGATGCTGCTGCTGGCGCGGCGCGGCTGTGCGACTGGGCTCGACGCGCGCGTCGCGAGCGTCTGACGCGGCGGGCGGCGTCGGGCAGGTGCGCTTCTCTCTCGGGTGGTGGTGGTGGTGCTGCTGCTGCTGCTGGTGGTGCAGGTGCTGCTGCTGGTGCGGCGCGGCTCTCCGACGCGACTCGATGCGCGTGTCGCGGCTATCTGACGCGGCGGGCGGCGTCGCGGGCGGCAGCGGTGGCGGCTCGCGGGTGGAGGTGGAGGCTGGAGGCGTGGTGGGTCTTTGAGTTTATTTCATGATGGACTACGAGGACAGGGGGTCAACCGGGAGGCAGGGGGTCAACCAGGTGACGGAGGACCGTGGGCCATCGCGGGGACCAGCCCGTCCGGAGGACGCACTGGGTAGATCCGGATGGTCTTCACGCCGGTGGGAGGCACCGAGGCGTCTGGGACGCTCAGCTCTAACTTAAGCTCCTGAGGGGCGCGTGGTTC